CACCTCAGCCTCCCAAAGGCGCAGGATTACAGGCTGAGCCACCGAGCCCAGCTAAAATAAGATTTTTGAAGAAAGAAAAGCACAAACTGTTTTTATATACCCATATCTAGCCATTCTGACACAAGGCATTTGGTAGTCACTCAAAACGCCACCATTTTGGCCACCAGTTTGGCACACAATGTGACACATGTACAGCCAGTAAAAGCTGACTGGGACAAATGGCAGTCTCATCTTCTTCCACAGAGACAGATTTGTTTAGTATATTTCCCTAACTCTTAACAAATAGCCAACATTTTTACTCACGAGGAGCTCCTTCAGCCATTTCAATAGCAGTAATTCCCACAGACCACACATCGCTCTGCAAAGAAAAAGATGACCATAAAAAGTCACTTACAAATGGGAAACTGGTAATATTTAGTATCTCAAAACAATATTTGTCTGGGGGTGGGCATGTCAATGTCAGAACTATTTTATGGGTTTTCTATAGTGAATCTTCACTATAGACTGACATTAAAGGAAGATATTATCTGCACTTGTGACCAGCCAGTACCTCACTACATAACAAGTTAATATGGAATGGGGTTCAGTGTAAAGAAAGTTCCTCTTGGATAGATTGCTATTGTTGTCTTGCCTGAAATACAAAAAGGAACTTGCCACAAAAATGTCCTATTACATAGACCAACTAATGTGTGATCTTGGGCAAGTGATTTAACTCTGTGTACTTCAGTTTCACTCTATGTAAAATGAAGATAATAATAGTATACACCTCATAGGCTTGGTGTGTGTGTGTGTGTGTGTGTGTGTGTGTATTTCAGCAGTTTCTGAAATATAGTAAATTGAGACTAGAATTATAATGAGCCTGTAAAAAGTAATCTTTATTACTATTAACTTTACAGTACTTTGTTTTTCAGAATGTGGAAAGGGCACAGGGCTAGAGAGACACTGACTGGCTAAATGACCCCTAAACAAGTCAACTGAATTATTAGAACCAGTTTATTGATCTCTTAACTTCAGTTGTTGTGATAGTCTCGGTTTAAGTTGTCTTTCAGTTATGTGGGGCTAAAAATTATATAACTAATACAGGTGCAAATACTTGGAAGGTTGCAAAAAGTACAGCTACAAAGCATTATTTTTATAGCAAATCACTTGAAGAACTTTATGCTTCCATAGTCTCCATAAGCTCCTCAAGTGGCACCGAACGTAAAACAGGCTCTCAGTAAATAATATTATTTTCAGATCAAGCAGAGGGCATTTAAGGAAAGGAAAGAGAGAGGAAATTTAAATTAATCAACAAGTATCAAGTATTAGATTCCACAGAGGGAGACCACAATGAATTGTTTCAATGACTTATGATGTGGAGACTAAGTAAGGCTTTTCCAACCTATAGCAAATGGAGAGTTTTTTTTTCCACACCAGCTTTTTGAAATGTGTACATAGATATATATTGTCCAAATTGCAGGCTCAGTGGAAATTTTAATAAATGCACGAATTGTTACTTAATTTGTCTATTCCACTGATTTTCTGTGGTTTTGGAGGTGAACCAGGCCAAGTATTTTCTCCATTACTATTAAGTAATCAAATTATTATTTTTGTTCTTTTTTGGAGCTAAGTTGCTGTGGGGATTAATAATTGGCTTTACATTTATTCATTTAAAGTTTATAAAGCCCTCTGCCCCTGGAAGTTAAATTTCCATATAAAGCCACAAAACAATATTTTTGCCAAGAAGTTGCAAGCAACATAAACTAGACATTCTGTCTCAAATCTGTGTAACTCTCAGTGGTATACTTTGTCCACATTCTTAGAGAATATTATTTTTATGCATATAATCAAACCACTTATAGGAATAAAAGCGTTTCCTATTAGAGTTTAATGTGAAAGGAAGGGCTGCCTGCTTTAAATTTTTCATCATTAAAAAATGTTAGTCAAAAATCTTTTCCAAATTTTGATTCCATGGTCTGAATCCTCACACTCACTCTGTAATCATAGGAGCGTCTTGGGTCCTCATCACAGTAAATCACCTCAGGTGCCATCCAGTATGGTGTCCCAATAAAGCTATTTCTCCTTCCATTAGTTCTGCTCACCTGGGCACTAACTCCAAAATCCACTGCAAAATTCAGCATATGTCAAAATAATTAATCAGGAACAAAAAACTCAGTAAGTTATTGCTTTAACTTGGAAAGCCAACACAGAAGCCACAATGGATAACATATTTTCATTCCAGCACATCAAACTTTACCATGAAGTCTACTCCAGAAATACTGGGAAATAAGTTTCTGCTGCTATTTATGTTGGAATGAGACTCAGCAGCACTATTATAAATCTACAGTAGGTTTGGCTGAATGTTTACCATGAATATTAAAAATAAAGTTCTGTTGGTACACCCTAAATCTCTGAAGTGGTAACATATGTAGTGTTTGGGCCTGCCACCAAGCTGGAGGATCAGCATTATAAGCAACATTTAAGAAATCTAACACCTATTGGCAGTTGATTAGGACACTGACAAAGAAAAATAAGTTTTCTGCTAGAATTTAGTTTAAGTTCTTACACAGAGCTTATGAATCAGATGCAAATCTTTACTGTGGTATCTATATCTCAGTTTAGATTATAAAAGTTGTCTTCTGTTCATCTGTAGGATACATTATAAGAAAATCTTTAGTATGGGATCCTCAGAAGCAGAGAAAAAGGCTAAAGTAGACTGGGGTTATTTATTCCAGAAAAAAAAAATTAGACAGGGATGAAAAATGAAGTAGCTTTTCTTATTTAGAATGGTTTCCAGGAATCCAGAGGATGATGAACAAAACTGACTGAAAAGCAGTTTGAGAAATTTGGAGGGAGAAAATAAAAGGAAAAAACAAACTAAGAGTTTAAGGCAGTCTTAAGGAAAGAATCTAACAAGAACAAAAAGTAAATGTCCACAATATTGTGAAGATCATCATTAAGTATTGTAGAATTTCATTATTTAGATATTTTTTAAGAATTGCATTAAATCATAGCTCAGCATTCCCTCAATATCCCTGAAGGCCAATGTTAAGGGCCAAGAAATACCTATGAAGGCCACAAGCTGATATATGGCATACATCCAGAGAAGAAAATGAAAGGAGAAAATACTAGAAGAAAGAGGGATAAATGGAAAAAAAGAAAAAGGAAATGAAAGAAAAAGAAAAGTTGAAATTAAGATAAAAAGTAGCAATGAAACCCCAATAATATCATAATTTAACATTTTCTTTAATGTCCTTATGGACTCGAATATGAAGATTATTGGACAATTGTAACTGTAATAAAATAATTTCCTTGTTTTTTTCTATCGTTTACTTTGGCAGTCATTAAGTTTAACTTCGGCAACTTTCTCTTTTAATATGTTGTTTAAATATAGCTGTATTCTGAGATATCTAGAACAAATTGTATAAAGATTAATGTGTAAAATAAATCTGATTAAATTATAATCCAGTACTTAAAGGTCTCTCTTCCAGAGTGAAGTACATGAGTTTTGGTGCATGAACATTGTGACAGATATTTCAGTGGCTTTTCATGTGCTTACAGTTTCTCTTCTCTGTTCCAAATGTTCGAGTTGGCCAGCAACTTGGCACAAGTATATGGAACTGTGGCTTTATATGTGAACATAGCATTTAGCCTTGTGATGGACTATCTACCCCGCACATTTAAATGTGAAATATATGTGTCCCTCATGCACTTTAAAATTGTGTTTCTAGCTTTGTAGCTTTTAAGCAGAAAAGAGATAATATGTTTTCTGGAAACTACTTTCACTTATTTCAAGAACAAGCAATTACTACTTCATGCTTTTTCCACAGATGTCCACTGAAAAACTGTTTTCAATGAATTAACAAAATCTCTACTCTTGTTCTATATATTTAACAAGAAAACGGGATATGTCTTAAGGTCATGCTACAAAAGTAAAAATAATACAAGTGATTTATCTTCTATATCAATAGGGTTATCTCTCATTGAATATCACTGGCATTATTTATATAATATTATTTGCAAACTAACCATCAATATTTAATTAATTTATTTATTTATTTGAATCAGGGTCCCATTTTATCACCCAGCCTGAAGTGCAATGATGTGATCATACCTCACCACAGCCTCAAACTCCTGGGCTCAAGTCATTCTTCCACCTCAGTCACCAGAGCAGGTCAGACTATAGGCACGCACTACCACAGTCAGTTATTTTTTGTAGAGACAAGGTCTCATTATTGTGCACAGGTTAGTCTTGAACTCCTGACCTCAAGTCATCCTCTCACTTTGGCCTCCCAAAGTGCTGGCTTTACTGGTGTGAGCCACTGTGTCTGGTTCGATATTTATTTTAAATATTAAAGTATACAATATATTGTTCCCTATGTGCTTGTGAAATAATATGTGTGGCTATTTTCAAATAAATTATGCCACTGAACACTGGTATAGAAACCCAGGGACTTTCTGGTCTTTTTATTTCTAATTCTGAATTTGATTTGGATATTATTGGAGGATCGTTTCTGATCAACATAATTTCTTTAAATATTTGAGAGAAAATTCCAAAGAAACAATGTGTACTTATGTAATTTAAAAGTTCTTTGCTTTTCTTGAGAAAATATGACTCTATTATGTGGAAGAATTTTCTTTTTATTTTTTTAATCCCTGCTCATGGCACCAAAACTTGCACATGGTGAATTCTCAACTCAATTGTTGAAAAAAATATAATAGTTATTTCTAATGGAAAGTAAATAAATGACCAAAAAGTAAGCTCCCATTATAATTTAAAAGTTGTTTTACCTTCATTGTTTCAAAAAGGCAGTTAGGTGCATTTTCTTTCTTTTGCCCCACCTTTCCACCAAACAAATTTTCAAATTTTGACTGGTTTTGCAGACAGAGAAGACCCAGCTCAAATAAGTAGAGGATATTGACAGTGGCATGATAGAAAGCACAGTTATATTAAAAGATTTTTCTCCTTTTGAGCCTCACTTAAAATATTGCAAGAATAAACTTACCCAGTTTTACTTCAGCGTTATGAGTCAGTAGCACATTTTGACCTTTGATGTCCCTATGAATTACTCGGTGTGCATGAAGGTGAACTAAGCCCTGTATATAAAATACAAAACAAGGCCACATCAATATGTTTGCTTGTTTTCTGGTACTGTTTTTAACATTTTGGGGAAAAATCTTTTGGTAAGAGAAATGGCCTAGATTCGATATTCAGGCAAAATTCTTTCTTTGGGCTGGAATTAGTACAACCAGTTCCCAGAAATATGACTTTTGGCTATAAGGAAAGGAAAATAAATCAAGACACCCATGAAAGTAAAAGAACACCAAAAGTAATGTTTGTATATATTGGGTCACTTTACCTTCCTTTCTAGCTTCCATATTTCCAACTAATCATAAGAATAAAGATCTGGACATCTTAAATATCATACCTCAGCCATTGATTTGCTCTATTCTTTATCCAACCATTTGTTTAGTCCAAACTATTTTCTAGTCAGCCTTGTAGGCTGAGAATTTGAGGGAAAATGGAAATTCATTTTAAAGCATTTGCAATTTGCCTTGGCTTACCACATTGGCTCTAGCCCTTTCACCACTAAAACTAACCCGTGACCTGGCTAAACCATGATATGATATGCAATGTTAGGCTGCAGTGAGATTGCTTCAAACACTAACTGGGGATTTATAATTGAAGTGACAATAAAAACAGCTAACATTTATTGAGCCCTCATGCTTTTCCAGGCACTGTGCTAAGTGCTTTACATGGAGTAAATTATTAATTCCTCACAGAAACCCTTTAAGAAATGTGTTAACATTCCCTCATATTATAGATGAAGAAAGCAAGACCTGAAAAAATTAAATAACTAGTTCAAGGTCATGCAACTAATATATGGTGACTAAATTCAAACTCAGCCCAGAGTTTTCACTCTTAACCATTTACGCTACAATCACAAGCGAATCCAATCAAAATGGGAAGAAGGATATTCTAACATTAGTATAAGTGATGTTGCTCAGTTCCGTTAATATCCTTCTTGGGTAACCCTAAGCACTTAAGCCACACACACAAAAAATTGCGTTAGTTGAACTAAGAAGATTATTGTCCTCATACAATTAGGCATGGAAATTTTTTTTTAAAAGGTGCAGTAATCAAGGAGGACATCTTCTGCAAAAAGGCTGCAGGTGGCTTAGGGTCATTCTGTAGAACACTGACTTTTCCTGACTTAACTTCATCTTAATCTATGATAGTGCTGTGTTTTTATTTAAAGAACTCTAAAAATCATAATAACATAATAAATAATCCAAGTGGTCATTTCCATGATCCATTGAACATAATAGTCTGAATCTGACAGAGACATTGAAAACCATGATTTGGAAGGACCTGGTCACCCAGTTTATGGTCTACCTTAATGTTTGAGGACAACTCCTGAAAATCTGCTTTTTCCAAAACTTTTTGCCCTTTTTAGGTATCCTGATCCAGGGGTTATGTTTATAATTCCTAAATCATAAAATACGAGCAGGTATAAGGTACTCGGTTTCTTTCATGATAAGGGGAGAATGACTATATAAAGACTCACCTGAAGGATTTCTCGGCAGATATAAGCAATCCAATCTTCTTTTAAGCTCTGATTTCTGGACATTCTTACTACATCAGTCACTGAGCCTGCTGCACATAACTCCATAACCATCTGCAGGGAAGCCAGTAAAGCATCAAGAATTAGAATGTAATTCTCTGAAAATATCTGGAGAGTTTTAGTCCATATGGCTTATATTTACATGTAATGTTTAGATATTAAGGCACTGAAAAGACTGGCTCAATTGTCTGGTGGAAGACTCCAAAGGTTAGTGGAATTAGAAAGAGTTGGATAAAACCCAAAGATCTGTGGAAGAAAAGAAGCCAGGTATCACACCAGGAATATTTAATTAGGAGTTTAGATTTGAACTAAGTCTTGAAAGATAGGTAGTGTTTGGATATGCTTAGAAGGAAGAACATTCAGTTTATAAAAAAACAAAATAAACACATGCATTTAGAAGGAAGCTTGTGCAGGGAACAAGCCTGACTGATTACTGGAATGGAAAGAAAACGTTAATTAAGGAACAGTTTGATTGGAAGTGGAGAAAAAGGATATAGAGGGCCTCAAAGGAGTTTACACTTAAACATTAAGACTAGGTTTGCTAGCCGGGCTTGGTGGCTCAGCCTGTAATCCCGCACCTTGGGAGGCTGAGGTGAGTGGATTTGCCTGAGCCTGCAGGTTCGAGACCCGCTTAGGCAACTTGGTGAGACCTCATCTCTACCATAAATCAAAAATTAGCCAGGTGTGGTAGCGCGTGCCTGTAGTTCCAGCTACTCGGAAGGCTGAGGCGGAATGATCGCTGGAGCCCAGCAGGTCGAGGCTGCAGTGGCCGGGAGTGGCCACTGTACTCCAGTCTGGGTGACGGAGTGAGACTCCAACTCAAAATAAAAAACAAAAAAAAAGACTAGGTTTGCTTTTTGTTGTTTTATTTTTTCTTTTCAAACTCCAGTTTATTTTACCCAAGTTATTGGAAAACTACAACTCCAAGGGGAAATTTGTCAATTGCATTTCTGTGAGATAATTTATTTCAAATGAGATTACTACTAAGGAAAGCCTATTTTAAAGCTAATATATCTGATGGTATTTCATTCAGATTTTATTACATTAATAAACTAAATTTCTCAGGAATTTTATTTTTGTTACCTATAAATTGAGTGCCTAATTAGTAAATTTTCTTCCTTATAATACTGGTTAACTAGAGGACAGACCAATAGAAAGCAGAATATATTATAATAATTCTAGAAACTTCTTTAAGTACAGATGTATGCAATATTGTCCACATTAAAACCACTTTATCAAAGGAATAAAATATAGCTTAAAAAAGAAACTGCAGGCAAGTTAATTATCATCATAATGAACGGAAGCAAAAGGATAAACACCAGATCATGAATATTCAAAAAATCTGCATTATTTCCTTTTGGAATATCAAGGTTTTTTATTCAGGAAAAAACTCTCCTAATTTATAGTTGCTCACCACTGATATCATGGTATGTCTTTCACCTGAGTTCACTCTCACTAAAATGAAGAAAAGAGGCAGTCAAACAAAATCACAGTACAAATAACCAGTAAAGGTTGATTTTCATGTGGAGAAAGAGAACAACATGTACACTGTGCTAATGTAAAAACAGTGGCTAATTTTGAGCCATGACAAACCTGAATTAAAGTCGTTGAATTAAGCTAAACCCTGAAAGATCTTGATAATATTACATGAGTCAGAAAAGCTAAACTATAAAAGGAATGTAAGATATTCTCAATCATTTTCCTAGCTTTGCAAGCATGCAGCCTGTACATACACTATAAATGGTAATTATTTAGCTGTCTACTTCGTTCCTATTTGTTTTTCTAGATTTACATGGGCAAGAAAGTGTGAATGGTCCCCTGAAAACTCTTAACACTTAATAATGTACCAAGTGCCTATTCATCCTTCAGATTTCAGTTTATGGTTTTATTTCCTCAAGGAAAAGGTTCTTATTTTTCAGGTGAATTTAGGTTCCTTTGTCATTTACCCACAGAGAGCCATGTTATTTCCCTTCTGATCAATTATACATTCATTTGTGTGATTATTTGATGGACATCGGTCTTTGCAAATAGACTGTAAGCATCAATGGGCCAGGACCACTTCTATTCAACTTACCGTTTGGCAAATAGATCCATTAAAATATGCTGAATGAATAAATGAAGTTCTAATATATACCTAATAAGCAGACTAACATTTCTCATAATTTGCCATATTGGCAAGAAGAATATTTTGTCAGTAAAAATATATAAAAAGACAAATGGTGTCTACAAAAAACAAAAGAAGAAAAAAACAGTAACTATTTAAGCTGTGCAGCAAAATTTACTAAAATATCAACTGCAATTGTCAGAGAGTATAGGATGCATATGAACTGACCATTTGCGAGAAAACAGGATTAAGTTGAAAATGTCTAAATTTGGTAGTTCTCAAACTGTGGTGCTCAGTCCAGCAGCAACAGCACCACCTGTGAACTTATTAGGAAGGACTAATTATTGGACCCACACATCCCAGATCTACTGAATCAGAAACTCTGTGAGTAATGTCCAGCAATCTGTGTTTTATCAGGCTCTGCAGGAGATTCTGATACATGCTAAAGTTTGAGAACCACTATTTCAATTCAACCCTTTGTTGAAAACTTTTCTATAATAGTCACTCTTCTTACTTTCTAAAGTCTATTATTTAGAATGTAACAGAATTCTTCATTGACACTTTACTATCTTAAAAAGTTTTAGTCATTATTTTGAAAATAGTAGTATCGTTGACATGAACTAGAAATGGAAATGCAGCAAGTGTGGATATTTAAGTGTATACTGACCTCAACTTATCTTCTAAATATTCCATTTTTAATAAAAATATGTTTGACCAAACTCATTTTCTTGTGATTTAACTGTTTCTTCTACAGTGGAAAGCAGCAAAAATTCTGATAACTGCCTAGCTTAGGTAGCATGGGTTCCAGTTAGCCTCTAAAATTTACGTCTTATTGATCTGGAATTTGTGATACTCCAGACATCATTACTAAGAAAAAGACAAGTCAACTAACCATTTGGAAAAGTCTATAAGAGTTATGTTTATATATAAGTGCATACACCTTACAAACACTCCAAATGCATCCATATACTCATGCCAAGTGCTAATTAGAATTAATCCTTATTTAGTCCTCATTTACTAATCATCATTAGGTAGTCTCCATACCAACAACTGTTGTAATTACATAAAATTAAAAGTAGCAAAGTTGCACGTGAAAGATTTATGATAGATATTTACAGTGTTCATTTGAGTCCTCCCCCATCCCATCAATAACCACCTTGCCAGACGCTTAAGTTTTTTTTCCATATTTTATCACTCCCATCTCCAAGTGTCATAGTATATTTTGTCGTACTACCTTGAGCAGCTGAGCACTTATGTTTTCCTGAAAGTGCACAAAAATGACATCTCAGTTCATGCAAACATATAAGATGTCTTCTTATGGGAGACTTACTCTTGGGTAAGACTTTTCTTATAGAATAACACCCTGGGAATTAAAAACATACCCAAAGTTGGTGCCTCTGGCCAGGGGGACTCAGCTTGAAAAATGCACCATAGAAGGACACAATGTTTTTGTGGAAAGAGTACTTCCTCAGAAGGTTGAGTTCAGTCCTGAGATCCTCTTCCTCATCCTATGGAATAAAAACACACAGCAAAGCTTCTAAGCTGTACAATTCAATGACTATGAGTCCAAACTACAGTAAATTGATGAAGGAGATCCCATGGCAACCCATTATATCCCACAGCAGTTTATAATAAAATTCAACTTATCTTTACCAGTATACAAAGATCTTTGGTTAACTGGGAATGTAGGGGGACAAGATAGATTGAAGATTTTTTAATTCAGTGGTTCTCAAAGTGTTGTCCCTGATCCTGCAGCACCAGCCACTTTATAAAGTTTTCATTCAATGGAGCCATTATATTTTTGTTGGTTTGATTTATAACACTTTTATTAATATACAATTCCCCTACCATACAACTCACTATATAAAGTGTAAAATTCAAAGTATTTTAGTATATTTACAGAACTGTGTGTGAAGTTTCACTCCAAAAACAAACCCCATATCCTGTACTTGTTATCCCTCAACTCTAAGCAACCACGAATCTACTTTCTATCTCAACAGATTTGCCTAATCCTGACATTTTATATAAATGAAGTCATATAACATGGGGTTTTCTGTTATTAGCTTTTTTTCAAGGTTCATCCATGTTGTAGTATGTATCAACATTTCATCCCTTTTGGTTTACTAGTCATCAATTGAGGAACATTTGGGCAACTTTCACGTTTTGGCTATTATAAATAATGCTTCTATGAGTATTCATGTCAAGTTTTGTGTAGACATATGTTTTTATTTCTCCTGGATATATACCTAAGAGTGAAACTGCTAAGTCAAATGGTAACTCTACATTTAATGTTTTCATGAAATGTCAAAAGGTTTCCCACAGTGGCTGTACCTTTTTACATTCCCAGCTGCGACATATGAGGGGGTTCCAATTTCTTCATACTCTCATCATCACTTGTTATTTCCTGTTTTATTAATATAAGCATTCTAGTGGGTATAAAGTGGTATCTCACCATGGTTTTGACTTACAGTTCTCTGAAGACTAATGATGTTGAGCATCTTTTCAAGTGCTTATTGGCCATTTGTATACGTTCTTTGAAATCTCTAATAAAAATTTATTTGCCCTTTTAAAAATTGGGTTGTTATTATTATTGAATTGTAAGAGCTCTTCATATATTCTATATACAAGTGCCATATCAAACAAATAATTTGCAAGTATTTTCTCAAATTATATGTTTTCTTTACTCCCTTGACCATAAACTTTGAAGGACCGAAGTTTTTAATTTTCATGAAGTCCAATTTATAAATATGTTCTTTTGTTGCTTGTACTTTGAGTGTCATATCTAAAGCTCAATTACCAAATCAAATTTCATGAAGATTTATCTTTGTGTTTTCTGCTAAGAATTTTAAAGTTTTAGAGCTTATATTTAGATCTTCAATCCATTCTGAGTTAAATTTTGTATACAATGGAAGTCCAACTTCATTGTTTTGCATTTGAATAACTAGCACTGCACTGCATTGATTAGTTTGTGATTCATTACATTTTATTTTATATTTTTTATTTTTTAATTTTTATTTATTTATTTATTTATTTTTTGAGTTGGAGTCTCACTCTGTTGCTCAGACTGGAGTGCAGTGGCCACTCCCGTCCACCGCAGCCTAGACCTGCTGGACTCCAGCGATCCTTCCACCTCAGCCTTCCAAGTAGCCGGAATTACAGGTGTGCGCTACCACGCCCGGTTAATTTTTTTATTTTATTGTAGAAATGAGGTCTCGCTTGTCCAGGCGGGCCTCAAACCCGCGGGCTCAGGCAATCCAATCACCTCAGCCTCCCAAAGGCGCGGGATTACAGGCTGAGCCACCGAGCCCGGCTGATTCATTACATTTTAAAGGCATTGGTTTGTTCTGATCTTTTTAAAACATATGCTTAAAATCATTTATTTTCTTAATCACAACAGTAGTGCAGTAATATAAAAATACATACAATATATAAAATAAAATTTTAAGTGTTCTACTCTCACTGAACATTTCTTCCAACCAATGTTAACAGTTTAGTAGATATTCTTTCAGACATTTTCATATGCCAATGCAGTAGCTAGAGAGATGACAGAGATAAAAAAGATATGGTCAACAGATATACTATGTGTGACATTTAAAAATCTAAACACGTTCATATTATCCTCACTACTTTGAAACCTTCATGTTTTAATTAATATAGAAAGCACATCTTTCTTTATCAGTAAACAAATGCACTTTCTTTTTATGGTGGCATAAGATTGCATAGGATGGAGTTATGGGTCTGGTGATCAGGAGACAAGTTGGGCACAGAGGTATTGTTTTTGAGAATTATCTATATACAGACAATTGGGGCTATCTGATGGGATAAGATCACTGAGGTACAATACATTGTTTCAAAACATAGTTTTAGCAGAAGACAGTGTGGTGTCAGTCAGAAGACAGCACCTACCCTGGGCATTGGAACACATAACTTTTCACACTGGTACCCAAACCAGGTAAAGATCCAACAAAGAAGGAGAACTACAGGCCAATATCCTTGATGAATATAAATTCAAAAATACTCAACAAGATTCTAGCAAATTGGATCCAATGACACATCTCAAAAATCATCCACCATGATCAAGTAGGCTTAATACCCAGGAGGCAAGGCTGGTTCAATATCCGCAAGATCATAAATGTAATTAAATACAGCAACAGATGTAAAAACAGCAATCACATGATTATATCATTAGATGCAGAAAAAGTTTTCGATAAAATCCAGCATCCCTTCTTGAGAACATCTAACTTTTAGCACTAATAGCCCAGAACAGGAATTGACTTAATCTCCCTAAGTTTCAATAAACTTAAAAAAAAATGATGTATTATAGTAGCCATTACCCATTTCCATGGAATGTTAGTGGGACCAAATGGGATGATATAAGTAATGTTTTTTGAAATCCTTAAGAAAAATATTCTGTAAATGCAAGGTATTATCACAAATTTATCTTCACTTGACCTCTTGTTTGAATTGATCAGAGTGGTATCAGAAATATACACCTCGCTCCCCTTTTTATCCTAACCTATAAACATCAGCCTCCTTCATTCCCAGTACATTTTTATAGTGGAATAGAATGGGAAGCAATTCTCTCTTCCTAAGCTTCAACTATATCTGTTTATACCATGACAACCATATGGTTTTGATAATCCTTCTGTAATTCTTGTTTCTCAGCCAGTCTAGAAGAAGGTCTTCATGTCTTAACAATTTGAAAGCAATCACACTTCGTGAATATAGGAGCAATGCAATGGAAGTTGAAATTTTACACCTTCCAGTCATTTCTCTGAGATTTCAAATGTATTTTTCAAGATATATTAAAAATACTGAGCATTTTAGGTGAGAAATGGTAACTTATAAGCAAATGTCAAACCAAACTGGAGACGCTAGAGTCTAGTGCAGTGCTTTATATTTATTTCATAAGTATTTTTAGAGCCTAGCTACAATATAGCCAAATATAAAATGTAGTCATTTGTTTCTTTGCTAGGTCTTAGAGAATAAGATAAAAAGGAAGGTGATAACAAAGTATGTAGGTTAAGTTATCTATTCATTTTAGCTAACAGACTTATTTCTCTTCTTCCTCAGGTCATTAAGTCAGGGTACTTGAAGAAAGATTTTTTCAGTGGACTTGCCTATAAACGTTCAACTACTAAAAAAAAAATCAATCTCTAGACACCTATTTGTCTTATAGGAAAAAGGGAAGGAGCCTGATTTGTCTGATTGAAAACCCCAAGGACAGGTTCCCTATTTCTACTTATTGTGTTATAAAAATTCAGGTTCCAGTCTCATTTCAGCCTCCCAATGAAGTTTGGTCATTAAGTTCTCTTCAAATCTTCGTAACCTATTTTCTAGAAATGCAAAAATTGATCCTGTGGCTTTCATTCTCATCATGTAAGATACTTTAACTTTCTGCTCCCCCTAAAATGTAGCCCTCCTTTGAAACGGTAACAACACCTGCACCACAAAGGACTACCAAACCACAGGGACTAGCAATTCTGTATATTCATGAGCACTCTCAGTTTTAATTAAGATACCGGGGTTCTGCTGAAAAGAATATGAACTCATAAACAGTGCAATACATAGGGATGGGATATTGGTAGGAAGTTAATAATACAAAAAAGCGATTAAAGAGATGTAAGCACAAGACTGAGTCCTTTCACCTTTCCTTTGGTAGATTGATGTCAAGGAGATTCCTTTTTCTTTCCAGATTAGAAAGTTTATGTCTCCAAGCAAGAATAGGAGAACAGCTGGGCTATAGGCAGCTATGTAGTTGCATTTGTGGTGTCACTTTGCCTATGAGGAACCTGAGACTTAGAGAGGTAGGAAGACTACATTCCCAAGTACTTTTTGACTATTTAGTAGTAGACTTAGGATTTGAACTCATGTTTCTGGACTTCCACATTATTGCTATTTCCATAAGCCCCTGGTATCTAAGAGATGTGTGTGCAAGTCACATACTTTTTATTTCAAAGAATGCAAGATGATTTAGAGAGACTAATGCATGATTAGCCAGCAGTTATTTTTCTTACTAAAATATAAAGTTGGAGATTTCCAAGTCCTCTACTAGAAAAACTTTTAAGAGTAGGTTTCCCACATAAATGTAAACTCCCCCAAAACAAATAAACAAAGATCAGATATGTTTGGAAAGCATTAGTGTGTTTGCCATTCTCAATTAACAGTAAGCTGGGCTTGTGAGAAACATATAAGTACATTATATCCATCAGGCCAAGTGTGTAATTTAAACTCTCACACATCTCCCAGTAATATGGTGCTACAGCATTTCATTCTCAGGGCCAGTTGATCCCAGACTGGCCTAAATACCCTGCTTTTTGGCAAGAAGAGGCAGCTCAAGGATGCCAGAGCTTTCTTTGTAATTTCTCCCAATTCTAGAATCAAAATCCTTTGCTCTATGGAAAAAAATATCAAAAAGTGGGGCAGATCATTAAAGAAGTTTTAACACAAATGTTTTACAAAACCAGAAATGCTCAAATAATTATATTTTTCATATCTTACTTTTCATGTCTACTGAGCTACCAATGCACGATACTATCTGTACTAGCTTTTTCCTTTGAATATGCTTTGTCTCCCAAGACACATTATAAACACAATGGAGCTAAGCCGGGCTCAGTGGCTCATCCTGTAATCCCGCGCCTTTGGGAGGCTGAGATGAGTGGATTGCCTGAGCCCGCGGGTTCAAGACCCACCTGGGCAACTTGGAGAGACCTCATCTCTACAATAAATCAAAAAATCAGCCGGGTGTGGTAGCGCACACCTGTAGTTCCAACTACTCGGAGGGCTGAGGCGGAAGGATCGCCGGAGCCCAGCAGGTCGAGGCTGCGGTGCTGGGAGCAGCCACTGCACTCCAGTCTGGGCGACAGAGTGAGACTCCAACTCAAAAATAAATAAATAATAGAAATAAAAATAAACACAATGGGATCCTAGTACTTGATAGATGAATAATGAAGCTGTTTAGCAATAGCTTTCTAATATAACTAGAAACTTTTAATAGAAACTTTAAAAAATGTGATTGTGTTAATGAAATTGGTTGTTTTTAATGTTCCTGGGAGCAAAATTACTAAAGAAGCAAAGATTACACATATTTGAAGCCCATATAGTTGACTGAAGGGGAGAAAATAGAAAAATATATACCAATGAATTATATTGATAAGAGCAGGAATTCTACTTTTAGGCCCATACCATAGTTTTACAGATCACCTTCATCTATTGAAAAAGAGGAATTATCTTTGCTTAATACTATTCTAGAACCAGTGAATTGCTGGAATCAGAAAGACTGCTTTGTAAAACAGACAAAAAGCTGCATATAGAAAACATCTTCACACTCCTTCATGTGTGTAAGTACAGTGCCAGATGTCCAAAGACTTTGAGGCTGGGTTGCCTATTGGCTTTCTGTCTGCTATTGCTCTTACAATAAAAAAGGGATAGTCCTCATTTGGCTCACATAAAATGGTAATGTTTGTCAGAATGGTACTGGAGAAAATACCATTCCGTCCAGAACACCATGTTAAAAGTGTGAAAAGAAACTTGCAAAGGCCAATTTTCGTCAAAATTTGCTCTCGTTCCTATCACCTCCTCCTTCGTTGCTATCCAGCTGGAGGGCTCTATGCTCTGTAAATGTACTCAATTTATCTCCTGCAATCAACACTTTCCTATTCAGGGGACCATTTCTCCTAGATCTGTTCTCTAACATATGCTAGTTCAAATATGATAATTGAACCTATGTTAATATGATAAAACATATAAATATGTCATCACTTCCAGGCAAGAACACTTTACTGGCAGCTTTTTAGAGTTAATGACACAATACAAAGGGATGAGTTTAAAGCTGAATATAAAAGGAAAAATTACTTGGGTGTTAATTAAGACTTTTAATACTCACGCTGTATCTCCACCCAACAGATTTTTGATATTTATTCACTCTCACTCGCCTTCCTATTTCAGGTAAAGCAGTCTGAAAAACCAATAATGAAATGTTATAAGACTTACTGGTACAGTCTGAAGATGATTTATGCTCAAGTTACTTTATGTTCCTTTAGCACTAAATGGACAAGTAAGACAACATTATTCCTCTCTCAGTTTTCACTAATAGTTTTAATTTAAAAAAAACAAATTTTACTGTATGCAGAAACTTGGCAACAAATTCATGGTAATAAATTTAATTAGCATATTAATGGAAAAATTACAGTTTGATATTAGTAAAGTGTTTTTTCCCCTTTATAAAACCAGTCCATTGACACTAGCCATCTATGGGCTGAACATGATTTTTAAATATTTTAAAAGTCAGAGTATCTGACCTGTAGATTAAATTATGGATCAAGGTTTCTCAAGTTAAAACAAGGAAATAAGTATTTAGAATAAATACTTTTAAAATGAGAGTATCTAAAATGTAGTTTAGATGTGGACCAAGGTCTTTCAAGTAAAAACAAGAAAATAAGTATTTTAGACAGTTTCACTCAATAACGACAAAGTTGATTATGTGGAATCCATGGTTTTTAAAGAAAGATTAATTCAAATAACCTCAAAATCCGTTGAAACTCGCATTAATTTGCATCATTTGAGGTTTACTGGCAAAACAAAAGCACACAACTCTTTAAATAGTTTTGGCAATTCATTTCCTTCACAATTGGAAAAGCGCAGTTTATGGCATTGACAGCAGTTCAGTGAATCTGTATAGTTTTTCAAACATAAAGTTTCCTTTAGGGTACAGTGAAGTGAAATTTTTTTGACCTTTGTTATGTTCGTGGTAATACTGTCTTGAGAAAGTGAGGAACTCATGTTAAAGAAAAAGGACAGAAATCAGTGCTAGCAAATTCTGTGACAATATGTTATGAACCATGACACAACTTTATGAGTGTTAGCAGGAACAGTGCCAATTAAACTGTCTTTTTTGCTCATCTGTCAAAAAATACACGAAAAGTGTGCATCTCTGACAGGTTTCTTCTGTCTCCCTGTCATTGAGAATCTAATAGCCTCAATTCTCAGAAGAAATCATTGGAGAGGGAAAAGAATATGATGGAAAACATCAGGATTAAAACAATATTAGAGGAAATCTCTTATTTTCTAACCCTGGAAACAGGTAATCAAGTAGAAAGAGAAAAACAAATACCTTTCCCATTGTTATAGAATAATAAAATATTTGAAACTTTTGCTAAGTGAATCATTTTTATATGAAAACATAAAAAATCACTAAATATAATACATGGGTTTAAATAATAAATATAATAAATTCAGATTAACATAATAATTATTATAGAAAATAATGATTTTAAAACAAATGCAATCTTTTCTGAGCTGTCTATGCCAAGAACACAGTCTGTTAAGGGAACAGAATACAGGCAAGATATAATATTACCTTACGAGCATTCATCACTTTAACAGCTGTAAATGCACCAGTCTTTTCATGAAGTCCCTGAAACACAGGATAGTAGTGATGAGTCAAATGTTACCTAGATAATCTAGCTATCAAGAAGCAATGCAGAAAATATTAAAATTGAATAAAGTCAAACACAATGTACATTATGAAACATAAAATATTACATACAGATGAAGCAAATGGTGTTATGTAGAAAACAGAAATACTAAATTATCAACATTTTAAAGAACTACCAGTCATTTCACTTAAAAAACTCAAACAAGTTTATGTAGTAGTTTTGCTTTTTATGTTTGTATTAAGCTGTGGGCATAATTGGCCATTTAAAGTTGTTGCATACTTCGTGTCTTCAGTCAAGGTTTATATGGCACCAAAACTTCCAGATAAAAAGTGAACATTTTCAACTGAAGATCACAAAAAAGGTGATGTTCGACTAAATAGCTTTTTAACTAGCTATGTAGTACTAGGTAGACATATCTTTCCACTTAGATATGAAAAGATATGTCTGCCTAGTACTTCTTCACATGCATAAGTTTCTTCGTAGCCATCACTAGTAGCGCAATTCATAATCCAACAGCTTCTAAACTGTTTAATATGGTTTGAATCATATGAACCAAAAAGATTTTTAAGGAAATAGTTTCTAGAAGATTCTGTCTTATTGAAAAGATGATGAGTTATAAGAGATTAATATTATTCTAAATGCAAGTACAAGTTTCAGATTTAAATTCTTTTAAATGAACATATAAGTGTGGAATTTGACCTCTTATTTTGTGTCTGGCACCTTTTAAACATATTTCAAACTGTAGTCATGGAAAAAATTCAGTATGGTATTACTATGAGTAACTTAAACAGAACACCTTATCTGATACTTTTCAAGCAAAAGGTTTGATTTGGGGGTTGAACAGTGTCCCCTCAAAATTCTGGTTTACATGGAACCTCAGAATGTTGCCTTATTTGGAAACAGGACTTTGCAGATATAATCACATTAAGATGAGGTCACACTGAATTTGAGTAATCAGTGACAGGTGTCTTTATAAGAGAAAATGGAGAGGTATTTGATCACAGAGACACAGGCACACACAAGGGGGAGACATCCATGTAAAAAAAAAAACAGGAAGAAATTGGAGTGATTCAACTACAAGCCAAGAAATATCAAGGATTTATTGACAATACTGGAACCTAGGAAGAGGCAAGGAAACAGTCTTCTTTAGAGACTTCAGAGGGAGAATGACCCTGCAGACACCTCAGTTTCAGAATTCTAGACTTCAGAATTGTGAGAGAATAAATTTCATTTATTTTTAAGCCATCTAATGTATAGCAATGTGTTACAGTAGTTCCACAAAACTAGTACACAAGGGGAAAAGGATGGAATCTAAGCAAGTAAATGGGTATTGACTTGCGATAGAGTTAAGAAACCTGTCAAGAACTAGACAAGAAGATTTCTAAAATCAGGTGAGCAATTTAGGATGGAGCACGCCAGTCACCAAAGACTATAATTTTTAAAAGAAAGGAAAAAGTTACAGGTTATTGATTGGGTAAAAGTAGGAACCCCAGAACAAAGCTTGTCTGTTTAACCTAAAATCTTTGGCACCTTTTAAACAGATTTCAAACTGTAGTCATAGGAAAAAGATTCGGTATGCGAAATCTTGGGAAAAAATACCAAAGACAAAGTCAGAGTTACATGAGGCAGAATTTGTAATAACAATCCATTAAGTAATAGCATCAGGTTCTAGGAACAACCCTTCCTTTTATCAAAGAACAATCAAACTTTTGCAACCTCTTTACCTGAGTATCACTTTAAAATATTTCAAAGGGGCATGAGCTTGTGCTATGTTTTGCCACTTGTCTTAATTTGCACCTGTTGGAAAGGAGTGAGATTATTTTTGCTGGACATCTGAAAAACAGTTTTAAACTGTTCTTTTGTAGGATTATGACAACACTTGAACTTTAATTACTGAATATTTTGGAGACCCTTAAAATTTATTTACATCTTTAGCTTAAATTATGTATTTTTAAAAATTTAGTCCTTATCATAATTTAGAAACCATTGTTTTCCTAATTATTCATATAAACACTTCCTAGTGAAATTTTTTTCTGATATCTGAATGCACAAACAGAACATGTTGGAAATTGGTTCTCACACATACCTTATAAAAGTTACAATGTTTTCTCCCCTTATCCTAAGAGATTATTTATGGGCCAAACTACTGTAATGCACAATACAAAGTATTTAGCATGTTAGCAAAGATATTAGCCATACATACTTGATTTGGCTGATGATCAATAAAATTCAAAATTCTTAAAGTCTGAAATTCACAGCCATCATATACCCTAGACTCCCCCATTCTGTGACAGGTCCTCAGTCTTTCCTGGTTTTCATGACTGTGACACTTTTCAATAGTACAGGTCAAGTATTTTGCAGAATGTCCATCAATTTGGGTTTGGTTGATGTTTTCCTGTTATTAGACTGAGATTATGAGTTTGAGGGAAGACTATTACAGAAGTGCAGTGCCCTTTTCATCACATCATATTAGGGGCACATGGTATCACCATGACTGATCAATGGAGATGTGAACCTTGATCACTTGGTTAAGGTAATGACTGCTAGGTTTCTCCATGGTAATGTTGCAATTTTTCCCTTTCATACTCTACTCATTAGAAGTGATTGATGCAGGGAGACACCTCTTATCAACAAGGGTGCCTGAATGAAGCATATTTATACCTAACTCTTAACTGTACCCCCACAATATCATAATAAAAATATTGATTATAAAAAAAGAAGTGATTGATGTTGTTTTTGAAGAGGCATAACACTATTCTTGAGTGTTTATCTAGAGAACCTAGAGGTCATTTTGAGATAAGCCATCAGTGAGATGGCATTCAGTGATGCCATTTTGTGGTTCACTAATTATATGGAAACTGTTTTATGGTCTTTGCTGAAGACAATGTTGTCATCAGTAGATTGTCTCCCCAAATGAGATGTTAAACTAGGAGCTGTAAATTCAGTTTATGAATTGTGCCTTTTTTCAGTTATGGTGTGCATTTTACAACAAATTAAAGCAAAACACCATTTATTTTAGACACATATAGAAAATGCTAAGAAGAGAGTTTGGTTTGGGAAGGAGTTTGGTTTGGGATTCTAAATTGCATGTTAAATAATCACACAATTTTCATTGGACTTAGTGAATATTATATAAACAATTACAAAGAAAGTCAACTTATAAATGTGGATTTTTTTCTTTCCTACTAATAATGTCTGTATTATCATACAGGAACCACTAGCTGTGCTAGATTAATACTGCTCCCTTAAATAGAGTTTGCATACAAAGAATAACCTTTTTAAATGTGTCTAATGAATATAAATTGTATATATTTATGTTATATGAAAGGGTTATTTGATAACCCTTTCATTGTAGAATGAAGCTAACTAACATGTATTAATTCACATACTTTTTGTGGTAAGTGCACTTCAAATCTACTCAATAAATTTTAAGTATGCGATATATTGTTATTAACTATAGTCTGTAGTGCAATAGATCTCATGAACTTATGCCTATATGACACTAAAATTTTGTGTCCTTTGTCCAACATCTCCCCAATCTCCTGCCCACTTCTGCCAGCCTCTGGTAACCTCCATCCCACTCTCTCCTTTTACGGTTTGATTTTTTAGATTCCACATATGAGTGAGATCATCCAGTACTTGTCCTTTTGTGTGTAGCTAACTTCACTTAACATAATGTCCTACAGGTTCAACTATGCTGTCACAAATGACAGAATTTCCTTCTTTTAAAATAATTTTGAAGCATTACAGAGCAAGGAGAAGAAAATTATCCTAGCTCTCATTCCTATCATAAACAAAGAAACCGCTGCTTAAATCTTATACGTTCATAGGCTTTCTCATATTTGAGAAACAGAAGATGACATGTAGTAACAATGCTTTGTAGCCATTCCTGACTCTAGGCTCAAGCCAACTGACATTTGGAATCAAGAAGTCTACCATTTCACTTTAGGTACCTCTTTGTCTTGTTTTCAAACCCATTCCACTTACTCAAATTTAGTTATTAATAAATGAAATTTATGTTATGATTTTGGGAAAAACCATAGATTACCTACTCAGAAACTGTCCCCCATATCCCACAACCCACTACAAAGTATAAAAATCATTCATTATGTATTGGCCTCTATTTTCTTAAGATAATGAATCTCCTTGATTATTCAAATATTAGCTAAGAAAAGAACACATTAATTTATCATTAACTTTTTACTATGAATTTTATTATCAGATGAGGTAACTATAACAATGGCAATGAGCAGGAAAGTGTTGGTGGAACAAGAAGGTGTAGGAAAGAAAGGGCTGGAGCATGAGAAAAAATTCTAAGACAGGTTGCTCCTCAGCTATAATAAAGGGAGCAGGGGCCAGGAATGAGGCGATGGGAAATAGTGAGTGAGCTGGGAATTTCAAAAAAGAAGGGAGTTTTAAAAAGGGACAGAAGGAGGATGGAAAGGTGGGGAGATAAACGGATTTAAGTCATAATTTTACTGGAATTTACAGTTTTTAAGATGCATGCACCTAACACAATTAAAGAACAAAATAAAATGCAAAAACTAGTTATTAACATAAATTATTGGATCACAAATAGAGTATATTTAAACAGTTTAAGAGAATAAATATATGCTACCATGTAAAGGATTTAACTTAGGTTCTAAAAAAACTTCCCTGATGAGTTTATGCTCTCATAACTAACTCTGTTTCTGGGGTTACATATTCCAAAAGACAGTAATTAGGATGAATGCGTATTTTCTTTGCAGGTCCATTTAAGATTATCCAGGAGAGAACATATATCCCTTAATGTTTTGATTTCAATTTGGCAAGGATTTGTGTTCTTAATTAATTAATTTAGATAACCAAATAAGCAACATTTTTTAGTCTGCTTCCCCCAGGAAAAACAGAGTTTTTTTACCGTGCTGTTGCTCTTCAATTGCTCTACGATGAACATTAGCATTTTAAATCTGTCCTATGCCCTATGAATATAAAATGT